ACACACACACACACACACACACACAGCACATAACCGCGAGCATCATGAACTTTTTTCCCGTCCCTCCCCTGATGCGCGCTTTTACTGTTGCAGCAGCGATGTGGCATACATGAGCTGCTGAAGTGCCCTAGACAACACTCTGGAGCTTGGTCAAACCCTCGTTTGGGCTAGCCAGCGCACCCTGCTCCCAGTACCAATGCAGATTCGTTGAGGTAATTAAATTATTGACAATCCTAGCTCCACAGATTCGCTAAGTGTGACCCACCCTTTTTGAAAACTCTTTAGCAAACTCGACGCCGCGTGCCCAGGAGCTTTCCACATTTTGGCAGGCTTTACAAGTTTTTGGTATCGGGAAATTCCGAATTTCAAAGCCTGAAGCGCTGCGAGTAAGCCAAACCGGCCTTATGTGAAGAGGACTTGAAACGCACAAACATAAGGGCTTGCCCCTTCAGGCGTCGCCTCTTGAATGGGGGCTTTGCCAAAAAGAAAGAAAAAAAAAGAAAAAAAGAATTAAGCAGACAGAGAAAACTCTCCCTACATCAATGAAGGGAAGAGAGACACATTGGCTCATAAAGAGCCGTACGTGTCTCTCACTAGAAGACACGAGGGAACTTAATGTGGATCGGGTGGGTTTTTGGCAGCTGTCTTCTATGGCAGGCCTGTTTGAAGTAAGTTTGTGTGCAAATTGTACAGAATGGGCGTGGAGCTGACGCGCAAGTTTGGTAGAACTTTCAGAGCCTTTCCCTAGCTTTTTAAATTGATCAATGGTTTGGGAAGTGCAAGTTGTCCCACTAATGCCCAGGACGATTGTATGCAGGGTGATCTTAGCACCTTGGAGCTGTTTGCAAAGTACACCATGTTGTTGCTGTAAGTCAGGCGCCACAACCTATGCCAAATTTGGATGATTTACTGCCGGGAGCTCTCAAACCCATTTCTGAGTAGAGGAGGTTGCTCATTTGGATCAGAGGGACGGTTTGGCATGTCGGGGACACCTAGATGTGGCGCAGGTGGAGCTCTGTGCATCAAAAGCATGCATTTCATTCATTTGGGCACACCAGTGCATGTTTTGAGGTGGCAGATGTTTCTCTACTAATATTTCAGTAATTCAGGAACATAAGGTGTGCCCCATACCTGCACTTCTTGGTCACCCCTGGGAATGGCCATTTTTGAGGGACCCTGCTCAGGCCCAAACTGCACCAGCAAGTGTTTTGGAAGCCTGCTGGTAATATTGCAAGTGATTTTGGGTTGTCGGGAGGACCCCTGATGCTCGTCCGATTTTCATCGTACGGACAAGCACGCATAAGCTGGGAGGTCTGGCCAGGCCCCGATAGGCCACCTCCGCATCCGCTGTTTGTCCTGGTTGATGCCTAGGGTTGTCATCATCAACATTGACATCGCGGGCTGCCTTGCTGGGCGCCAGGGAGGAGCTGCTGGGCTCCGCAAAGTTGCTGAAGCTATAAACTCTGGAAACCTTGCTTTTGGGCACACATCCGAGGAGGTCGATGTGGTTTTGATAATAATCATTGCAACTAATCCGCTGGGAATTTGAGTTTACGAGCGTTTGCAAGCAGATTTTTTAAATACAAGCTTCTCCGCGGCTTCCAAGCGGATATTTCTACTTTGATTTATCGATGAAAAAAGATTGCAGCCTCCCATGTGTGGCTGCCTACGGAGATTTGAAAGGTAAAAGCATTTGAAATCCGGACCCCGACTCAACACTCTGCTGAAGCATCAAAATTTCATTACATACTAGAAGAAAGCTGTTCCCTACCGTCATCACTCCTCTCGGCTGCCTTTTGAGCATCCCCTGAGACAGCCCCCCGCCAGCTCGCATCAGGTGGCCACCAGTGCACTCAGGGACTATCTTGTGGTCCACCTGCAGGCTCGGGGATGCAGTTGGAAGGCTTGGGCACACAGGGGTTGAGTTTTGCTGCCTGAGCGCATAAACATGCAGGCCCTACGCACAGCCTAGTACACCAAATGGGACCAGCTCAGCGCTGAAAAATTGCTTTTTTAAAGGGCTTTTAGGAGGTGCTCTCAAAATGGGCAGAGGTGGCCTGGCTGGCAAAAGGCAGGATATCACTCAAGGTTGTGGCACCTGACTGTAAGGCCTTTTGTTGCGCACCAGGCCATGTATCTTCACAGGAATTTACTCCTACCAGTTGAATACAACGCTTTCGCGCATTCAATTCATGGGGTTGCCAAGCCAGGGTTATGGTGTTTGTTGATGCTGCGCTGCCACTCATGCTGCGCAATACCCGATGTGAGGGTGGTCTGTCGGGGTTAGAGGGGCAAGGGCTGACCAGAATTGCAGCTGGGCGGTTGGATTTTTGTCTAGCTTGAGCAGGGAAGTTGGGCTTGAGCAGCTAGCTTGGTATTATACAATTAGAGATGTGCTCGGGGATGTGCAGGTCATGTTGGACCAAACAGTCTGTGTTGCCTACATCCAGATGCACAAGACTTGACCCACAAGGGCCTTCGCCAACCAAAATCATTTTCATTTCAAGAGCCTTTGCCAACCAAAATCAATTTCATTTCAAGAGCCTTTGCCAACCAAAATCATTTCATTTCAAGAGCCTTTGCCAACCAAAATCATTTTCATTTCAAGAGCCTTTGCCAACCAAAATCATTTTCATTTCAAGAGACTTTGCCAACCAAAATCATTTTCATTTCAAGAGACT